AGCTAGGATGACGCCACGGCACTCTATCCCGGGCAACACAGTGAGACTCTGTCTCAAAAAAAAAAGAATAAATTAGAATGAATTCATATTTATCCCTATAATAATCTCATGGTCATTTGCAGCACTCGCATATTCTTTCCTGAAAGGGAGGAAAAAAGAGGTGGAGAAACAGCTAGTTAGCTGTTTTAGGTAGCCCTGGGTACCACTACAGGAGGGCGTTGCTCATGCGTGTGGGTAGAACAAACGTTGAGAATCACTGGATTAAGTTAGATGTACTAGATATAGAATGGACAGTTCTCCCAAGGTGAAGTCCCTGCTGTCTTTCCAACTCTGTTCCTTAGGAATTCTTGGATTGCTGCTCTTATTTACCTGTCAGTGTCTTCTGGAGAACATACTATGTGCAGGGCCCTTATAGAACAGTAAAAACAAGATTCTCTAGGAGGGGTGACAAGGCAGATAGATCACCATAGTATGACAGAAACAGAGGAACAATGAAAAGAAAGATTTAAATAAAATCAAATCAAAGAGGGTTTCAGTCCTGACAAACTAACAAATGGGAACTTGTCCTCTTTCCTCGTTCAGCATTCATTGTAGGAAGTTTATGGGTACCTGAAACCATATCCCACAATTGAAACATGCTAATTAGGCTGTAACATGTAATTATGGGTACATTTAAATTCAATGTAGTGGATGAATGCCATCCAAACCTTTACCTTTGCTTCATGTTCTTGACATTTCTAGTGTGATATTTCTCTAACAGAGATGTGGACATTTAACTTCCATAGCATGTCAGATAAACAGAATTGAAAAAAAATGGGACAACTTGATAGATCAAGTTTTTCTCTTCCTTTGTGTAATGTTTCTAAACAACTTATAAAATGCAGTCCCTCCACTTCTGAGGGCAATTAAAATGTTGCCCCGGGATCTTGATTTGGCTATCTGGGGAACCAACACAAGTGCTCAGTTCACCTCTGCCCTTTAACTATGTCAACTATTTTGATATTTGGGAAAGAAATGCAAATACTTCTTACTAACTCCTTATAAAGCCAACCCCAACCCTAAGTATAACTTTAGAAATGGCAACATAAAGTGAATTCAACTTTTTGATCTCGTTTGCACAGAGTAAGAAGCTAGGCATTACGGTATCATGCACTCCAAAAAGAAGCACAAACTCAAGCCAAGAGCCAGTTCCAGGTATGAAGCCAAACTGGCCTAGAAACAGATATCCTGTCACAAAAAGAGGCCGTGCTGACATGGTGGCATACCCATCCTTGCACATATATACGTACCCGTAGGTATACCTGCGCCGTGCCACACACGTGCTTCCTCAGGGTGTTTGGGGTTAGATACATTTGGAAACATGGGAAAGGTATGATTGGGAACCACATTCATTCGTGGTATACTGTGTTGTGCATTCATCATGCACTGATCTTACACTACAGAGTACAAACTGGAACCATGTGCATGTGCTCAAGATGCATACCTCATGAATTTAACTATTTTTTCATAAAATGGAATTATGATGTATAGATTCCACTACTACTGCACTG